AGTTGAAGCTAGGCAACATGATCTACCCGCATAATGTCATCGTGGCTGATATAATGGACGACTGCATCCTGGGCCTAGACTTCATGAGGAAGAATTGTTGTGCGATTGACGTTAAGCAAGGTGTCTTGAAATGTGGACAAGAGGAACTTTTTGTGGAAGGAGCGTTACCAGGGAACGTGTACAGCCTTGAGAAGATTGTTCTTCCGCCTAGATCGGTAACGATTGTGCCGGTTAGTCTTCCTCGGAATCCTGGGCAACCTCATCGTTGTGTACTCGTGGAAAGGTTAGAAAATGACCTTCCATGAAAAGTGGCTCGAACCTTGGTCAGAACCACTAACATCTCAGGAGTACGTGTGCTGAACCTTTGTGGTCAGGAACAGATTATAGAAAAAGGCACATTGCTACTTGCTACTTGTGAGGAAGTGGATTGGTTACGTCGGTGCCAATATCTACCGACTGGAATCCCCAGCAAGGATGCACAAACGAGAGTGAGCACACTTTTAGAAGACTGTCGCAGCGTTCTCTCCCCGAATGAAATGGTCAGAGCGAAGAAGTTGTTACTCAAGTATGCCAATGTATTCTCATCAAACGATGCTGACATAGGAAAGACTGGCTTAGTTCAACACAAGGTAATACAGAGGAAGATTTGCCTATCCGTCAGCGGCCAAGAAGATTGCCGGTAGCACGTGAAAAGGAAGTGGAAACCATGATGGAGGGAATGGTGAAAGATGGTGTCATTGAACCTTCATCTAGTCCATGGTGTTCACCCGTGGTACTGGTAAAGAAGAAGGATGGCAGCATGCGGTTTTGTGTTGATTACCGCCGTCTGAACGACGTTACTAAGAAGGCCAGCTATCCCTTGCCAAGAATTGACGACACGCTGGACATGCTTACAGGAGTAAAGTGGTTTAGCACGTTGGATCTAAAAAGTGGCTACTGGCAAGTTGAAATTGACCCTAAGGACAAGGAGAAAACTGCGTTCTCGACGGGAAAGGGTCTATGGTAATTTAAAGTAATGCCGTTAGGGTTGTGCAATGCTCCAGCAACGTTTGAAAGGCTGATGGAACTTGTACTTACCGGGCTCATTGGCGATGCCTGTCTGGTCTACTTGGATGACATCATCATCGTGGGCCGTACGTATGAGGAACACCTTCTAAACCTGGAACGCGTGCTCATGAAGATTCAAAGTGCTAACCTAAAAAAAAATTATTGTGTCACAAGACGCGAATTGCTAGCTGTGGTAAAGTCGTTGCAGCATTTTAGCAAATATATTCTGGGACGAAAATTTCGCTTAAGAACTGACCATGCTGCACTAAAATGGCTATTGCAGTTTAAAAATCCAGAAGGACAAGTTGCGAGGTGGATTGAACTACTGCAAGAATACGACTTTGAGATCGAACATCGCAGCGGGAAATCTCATGGCAACGCAGATGCATTGTCACGAAGACCTTGTCCTGAAGATTGCAAACATTGTACTAGGCAGGAGAGTAAGGAAGTGGTATCCGTGAGGATGCGCAGGGCAGACCACCTCAGCAACGAGTGGAAGGACAGCTTACAACGGGCACAGCAGGAAGATCCGGACATCAAGCCGATCCTGGAATGGATGAAGGCCAGTGCTCTCAAGCCCAAGTGGAGCGACGTCTCAGCGATGAGTTCGACCACTAAAAGCTATTGGGCCCAGTGGGACAGCTTGCTGCTTCAGGATGGAGTTCTGTGGGAAAATGCTCGGGGAGACAGCTGTCATTTACAAATGGTTGTCCCTAAAGCTAAAGTACCGGATGTTCTACAGCTGTACCATAATGATTATTCAGGAGGTCATCTGGGAGTTAAAAGAACTCTACTGAAGGTCCGAGAACGGTTTTACTGGGTCCACTGTCGAAACTATGTCGAGGACTGGTGTCGCAAATGTACAAGTTGTGCGGCTGTAAAGGGACCTCAGACTCGTAGTAGAGGTGCATTGAAGTTGTACAATGTTGGTGCACCATGGGAGAGAATAGCCGTTGACGTGGCGGAGCCGTTTCCGGAGAGTGAAAGCGGTAACAAGTATTTCATGGTTGTGATGGATTACTTCACTAAGTGGCCAGATGTCTTCGCCATTCCAAATCAAGAAGCTTCAACAGTTGCAGATAAACTAGTTCATGAAGTCTTCTGTCGTTTTGGAATACCTTTAGAGATTCACAGCGATCAAGGAAGGAATTTTGAATCTCAAATATTCTAGGAAACTTGCCGAGTTATGGATACTGATAAAACAAGAACGACTTCTTATCACCCGCAATCTGATGGAATGGTAGAACGATTTAATCAGACATTGGAGAGGTACCTAGCAAAAGTTGTAGACAATCGGCAACGAGATTGGGACAAGCACATACAACCGTTTTTGTTGTCATGTCGAAGCGCTGTTCACGAAAGTACAGCAGTGACACCAGCTTTCGCAAACTTTGGAAGAGAATTACGGCTGCCTGCAGACCTGATCACCGGGATACCACCTGATGCTCCACGTAGTATAACCGATTATGCAAATGACTTGCGGAACAAAATGAATGACATTTATGAGCACGTCAGACAATCGGGCCAGCATTTTTTCAGACAATTGAAAAAATGAAAACCCGGTACGACTGCAAAATGAACAACAAAGGGTTCGACGAAGGTTCACTAGTGTGGTTGCATAATCCCGTCCGCAGCAAAGGGAAATCTCCTAAGCTTCAAGCTAAATGGGACGGCCCGTACCGGATTGTGACCAGGATCAACGATGTAACCTACCGGATACAGAAAGGCGCAAGAGGGACTCCTAAGATCGTCCATGTGGATCGCCTGACGCGTTATTATGGGGCCGATAATGCTCGGGACGAGCATGTCTTAGGAGGGGGCAGTGTCGCGCAGCTAAGTTGACATCTCATCTCATGGCACTAGCTGGCACTGGCCATCTAGCGTCGGGTAATAGAGCGAGGAGAGAGCTTTCCAGAAAATGACATGACTAATTTTTTTTTAACCGACAGCGCCATCTAGTATCAAATTGAAGAACTAAACTTTCTAGAAGCTCTACACTCGGTCTTTCTGCGCTTGGTCGGTTGGCGCGCGTATTTACTCGAATATTCTGGAATATTCTGGGTGTTTTCGTGGAAGAGCCCTATATAAAGGCGCTGCTATACGCGATCGGGGGAAGTATTGAAGTTGGCGAGACAAGCGAAGCTTCGGAGCGGAATAAAGTGAATCAGTGTGATTAATTATTAGTGTTTTTAACTTTAATTAATGTAAAGTGAATTAAAGTGTTAATTTAGGTAATTCTATCGGCAATTTTTATTGTCACGAACCTCAAGCTCGTAACATTGTTTTAATATGTTACTACCTATAAAATTAACAAGTTTATTGCATTTTTATTTGAGTAATTTTTTATGCAATTTCTTTATCTACGTCTATTTTTAGGAACCTTTATTTAGTCTGAATCATACATAACACTATATTACTGATTTACTTACTTATACGTAGTTTTCTTTTTTTGCAGTTACAAATATCTTGTGAGGATGAAAAAGGCAGTAATGAAAAAATAATAAGAAGAATAATAATTTACGTCAGCCACTTCTTTTCATAAAAATTTCAAATCATGGTCCATTAGGTTGCAGCTTCACCGAACCACAACTTATAATAATAATAATAACAATAATAAACTCGGCCGTTTGGTCTCCCCTGCTGAGGGCCTCCATCTGGTTGGGCTTTTATTTATATATGTAATTTAATACTTATTTTATGTTATTGATATTTATGTATATTTATCTTTTCATTTTAATTTATAATTTTTATATATTTAAATATTTATAGAACCGAACCAGATGAGAAAATTATATGGATACCCCAGGAATAATATATATATATATATATATATATATATATATATATATATATATATATATATATATATATATATATATATAAGTAAAGTAAAGTAAAGTAAAGTTACAGCCTATATACGTCCCACTGCTGGGCTCAGGCCTCCCGTCATTTCTGAGAGGGTTTAGGGCAAGGAAGTGTCCGCCGCGCTGCCCAAATGCGTGTTGACGAACTTCACATGTCTTCGAAATATTTTTTTTCTTATTCCTCAGACATGCAGGTTTCCTCACGATGTTTTCCTTCACCGCCGAGCACGTGGTAAATCAGCATGGCATATATATATATATATATATATATATATATATATATATATATATATGACCACTTATATATATGGGCGTATGTATGCACATATGTGTTCATTTAATAGCTGCAGCTGTTTGTTTATAATTTAAGGAAGTTAAAAAAAAATTGTAATCAATTTCTTACATTCAAGATAATAAAATTGACTTATATTTTATTATATTCTATTTATCAATACCCACCCAGTATTACTAATCACAAATAATCACAATATCTCATTAGTTATTGTAATTGGGTAAAAAATATCTATTTAGTTACTAATGCTATATTTATTATTTTAATAATTACCTACCCAGTAGGTAAATATTAAAATAATAAATGTAGCCATTGATTTATATGTTACACTAGATAAGTAATTTCCGCGCCAAAGCGTTGTCACTTCACATAAGGCCACAGCCTTATACTCAGCGAACGTCGGTTCAGTGTTCAAGGTGACGCCGTCCGAGTTAAGCCGAACGATTCACAACAATAAATGGGTAAATGCGTAGTGTAAGAATGCGTTTCAAGGTCACAAAAACATAATAAATCAAGCGGAATCACTTTCCATACGTAAGTTTTAATTTATATTGTTACGAGCTTGCGGTTCGTGACAATAAAAATTGCCGATAAAATTACCTAAATTAACACTTTAATTGTGTAAAGTAAATTAAAGTGTTAATTTAGGTAATTTTATCGGCAATTTTTATTGTCACGAACCGCAAGCTCGTAACAATTGGTGTCAGAAGTGGGATCAAAGCCAAGACGCGAACCGCGGAACTCCGATATCACGCCCGACCGACATACCACCTAAGCACATACAACCGTTTTTGTTGTCATATCGAAGTTCTGTTCACGAGTCTGTTGTCAAAGTCCTCCCCTCCCAGGTGGGTGTCACCGGCCGTCGCCTTTACTTCGAACAGGGAGCCTTGGTCGTTTGCGATGATCTCCACGTTGCCATGTTGCCACACTCCAACGCACGAATAAGTTGTTCCAAGATCAATTCCAACAGCTGGCATTTTGTCTCCTTAATACGCTTTTCAGTTAAAAATATTGGTTAATAACAATCGCTTATACAAAATTTCGGTTAACACCGAAAACTCGTCTTCGCACTTTCTTTAACGTGTTCGTACTCCTCCTGGTCTGCAAGGTTATTGTTGTCTAGCCACTTGAGTGCATCGTCACACTCCCGGCGCGCCGTGCTCTTGTCAGCTTCGCTCAGCTTGTCTCCCGCGTCGTCTAGCGCCTGCTTCACGCTGAACACGTACGTCTCCAACTGGTTGCGGGCGGCGACCCTCTGCCGCTGCTTCTCGTCCTCTTCTTTGTAGCGCTCGGCTTCGGACAACATGCGGTCGATTTCGGCCTGCGACAAGCGTCCCTTGTCATTCTTGATCACGATGTTCTTGCTGCGACCCGTGCTGTTTTCTTTGGACGCTGACGGATAGGCAACTCTTCACCTGTGTTTATTTTGTGTTGAACTAAACCAGTCTTTCCTATGTCAGCATCGTTTGATGAGAATACATCGGCGTACTCGAGTAACAACTTCTTCGCCTTCACCAATTCGTTCGGGGACAGAACACTGCGACAGTCTTCCAAAAGTGTGGTCACTCTCGTTTCTGAATCCTTGCTGGGGGTCCCACTCGATATATATTGGCACTGACGTAACCAATCCACTTCCTCACAAGTACCAACCAGTGTACCTTTTTCTATAACCTGTTCCCGGTCGCAAAGGTTCAGCACACGTACTCCTGAGATGTCAGTGGTCCTGACCAAGGTTCGAGCTACTTTCCATGGAAGGTCATTGTTTACCCTTTCCACAAGTACACAACGGTGAGCTTGCCCAGCGTTTCGTGGAAGACTAACCGGAACAATCGTTTCCGATCTCGGCGGAAGAACAATCTTCTTGATGCTGTACACGTTCCCTGGTAACGCACCTTCCATAAAAAGTTCCTCCTGTCCACATTTCAAAACACCTTGCTTAACGTCGATCTCACAACAATTATTCCTCATAAAGTCTAGGCCTAGGATGCAGTCGTCCATTATATCAGCCACGATGACATTATGCAGGTAGATCACGTTGCCTAGCTTCAACTCCATCTCCTTCTCTCCACGGACGGGTATACGCTGACCGGTGGCTGTTACCAAATTAATGCGTTCTCGGTTGTATGCGGAGTCCCCAAGGAACTGACTTATAAGTTGGGAACTAACAACCGTACGAGAGGCTCCAGTGTCTATGGTCAGTTTACACGGCATTCCGTTGACCTCGCCCTTGATGATTAGACTGTTCCCATCATGGGTTTGTGAGATCGAGATCCTTGGGGCTCTTTTAACATCAGCCAGCACCCGCCCCGCAGTTCTGGCTTTTACTCGTTTCCCTGCTGCTGCTGGGCGGTGCTGTTGGCCGCACTACCCTCCTGGGATCGTTCACCTTCCCTTTCTAGGGTTCGCTTAGGGCAGCTGGATCGAAGATGGCCCTTTTCCCCACAGCCATAGCACCTAGGGCTGTATCCTTTGTTGCGGTCGCGAACTGTAGCTGCTGCAACCTCCCTGACGCGATGGGAACGATGATCCTGCCGCACGGCTTCTACCTCCAGTGCATGGGCCAAGGCGTCCTTAAGCGTCTCATGGTGCCCGAGCCTCACAGCAGCTCTGACTTCCAGGTCACGGATGCCGTCGATGAATGTCTGCACCAGGTTCCCTCCAATGAGCGCAGGTACAGACCGGTATGCCTTTCGCACCAGCTTCTCCACCTCTAGAGCCCACTGCTGCAGGTTTTCGTTGATGCGCTGCACGCGATCTTTAAGCTGCGCACGAAAGACGTGTTCCAGGTGAGCGTCGCCATACCTCGCCTCCAATGCCTCAATGAGTTGCTCATAAGTCACTTCCTCACCGAGAGCTTCCAGAACTGTTAAGGCCTGGTCGCGCAGGCCTAGTGTGAGAGCAGTCATGGCCTAACTTTCATCCCAGCAGAAATGTCGCTTCTCCTCGGTTAGCTTATGCAGAGGTTTGGCTATATCTGCAAAGTTCTTCACAAAACGTCGGTAATAGGAGCACAAACCCAAAAATGCTCTAACCTGCGTCTTGTCTTTTGGAACCGGCCAATCCTTTACAGCTGCGATTTTCTCTGGATCCGTGCGGATACCTTCTTCCGACACTACATACCCCAAAAAGTTGACTTGCCGTTTGAATAGTGAACATTTCTTCGGACTCAACTTAAGGTTGGCACTCTTAATCTTCATGAGCACGCGTTCCAGGTTTTGAAGGTGTTCCTCAAACGTACGGCCCACGATGATGATGTCATCCAAGTAGACCAGACAGGCATCGCCAATTAGCCCGGTAAGTACAAGTTCCATCAGCCTTTCAAACGTTGCTGGAGCATTGCACAACCCAAACGGCATTACTTTGAATTGCCACAGACCCTTTCCCGTCGAGAACGCAGTTTTCTCCTTGTCCTTAGGGTCAATTTCAACTTGCCAGTAGCCACTTTTTTAGATCCAGCGTGCTAAACCATTTTACTCCTGTAAGCATGTCCAGCGTGTCATCAATTCTTGGCAAGGGATAGCTGTCCTTCTTTGTAACGTCGTTCAGACGGCGGTAATCAACACAGAACCGCATGCTGCCATCCTTCTTCTTTACCAGTACCACGGGTGAACACCATGGACTAGATGAAGGTTCAATAACACCATCCCTCACCATTCCCTCAATCATGGTTTCCACTTCCTTTTCACGTGCTACCGGCAATCGTCTTGGCCGCTGACGGATAGGCAACTCTTCACCTGTGTTTATTTTGTGTTGAACTAAACCAGTCTTTCCTATGTCAGCATCGTTTGATGACTAAAATCATCGAGCGCAACTCTAAGATTCCTTGCAAACAGTCGCAAACCTTCACCACATATTCGGACAACCAGCCAGCAGTTACTATCCAAGTCTATGAAGGCGAGCGTGCGATGACCAAGGACAACAACCTATTGGGCACGTTTGACTTGACCGGCATCCCGCCAGCGCCGCGCGGCGTCCCCAAGATCGACGTCACCTTCGACATGGACGCTAACGGTATCCTAAACGTCTCGGCCAAAGAAAACAGCACGGGTCGCAGCAAGAACATCGTGATCAAGAATGACAAGGGACGCTTGTCGCAGGCCGAAATCGACCGCATGTTGTCCGAAGCCGAGCGCTACAAAGAAGAGGACGAGAAGCAGCGGCAGAGGGTCGCCGCCCGCAACCAGTTGGAGGCGTACGTGTTCAGCGTGAAGCAGGCGCTAGACGACGCGGGAGACAAGCTGAGCGAGTCTGATAAGAGCACGGCGCGCCGGGAGTGTGACGATGCACTCAAGTGGCTAGACAACAATAACCTTGCAGACCAGGAGGAGTACGAACACGTTAAAGAAAGTGCGAAGACGAGTTTTCGGTGTTAACCGAAATTTTGTATAAGCGATTGTTATTAACCAATATTTTTAACTGAAAAGCGTATTAAGGAGACAAAATGCCAGCTGTTGGAATTGATCTTGGAACAACTTATTCGTGTGTTGGAGTGTGGCAACATGGCAACGTGGAGATCATCGCAAACGACCAAGGCAACAGGACTACACCATCTTACGTAGCATTCACCGACACGGAGCGACTCATCGGCGATGCGGCGAAGAACCAGGTGGCCCTCAACCCCAGCAACACAGTGTTTGACGCCAAGAGATTAATTGGCCGCAAATTCGATGACCCGAAGATTCAACAAGACATGAAACATTGGCCATTTAAAGTAGTCAGTGACTGCGGTAAGCCAAAAATCGAGGTGGAGTTTAAAGGCGAGAGAAAGAGGTTCGCGCCGGAGGAGATCAGCAGCATGGTGCTAACGAAGATGAAGGAGACGGACCAACGAAGATTTGGTGGTGCAACGCCGCAGACGACGGAGGGCCAGCCACCGGCTGCAGGCCCGCCGGCAGGAGGAACAGGCCCGCTGGCAGGAGGAACAGGCCCGTCGTTTAGAAGAGCAACTCCAACGCGATAAGGAAGAGCAGATGCTCCTCATGAAGGACCTTCACGCTATCTTCGGAAAAGAGATACGGGAGGTGAAGGATAAGGTTGCTCAACATGACAACCGCCTGTCGGAGGCCGAAACCCGAATCGACCAAGTAAACAATCGGGTTGACAACGTAATGGCTGACGTGAAGAAAACGCTGGACGACCTCAAACTTGGGGATGGAACAACAGCTCCCGTAGTAGCTACAACACCTTCGCTACGTGGATTCAAAGTGCCGCCGTTCGACGGTACCTCTTCCTGGTCAGCCTACAAGATCCAGTTCGAGGCTGTTATGAAGGCGAACGGCTGGAATGAAAGTCAGGCCATGACTGCTCTCACACTAGGCCTGCGCGACCAGGCCTTAACAGTTCTGGAAGCTCTCGGTGAGGAAGTGACTTATGAGCAACTCATTGAGGCATTGGAGGCGAGGTATGGCGACGCTCACCTGGAACACGTCTTTCGTGCGCAGCTTAAAGATCGCGTGCAGCGCATCAACGAAAACCTGCAGCAGTGGGCTCTAGAGGTGGAGAAGCTGGTGCGAAAGGCATACCGGTCTGTACCTGCGCTCATTGGAGGGAACCTGGTGCAGACATTCATCGACGGCATCCGTGACCTGGAAGTCAGAGCTGCTGTGAGGCTCGGGCACCATGAGACGCTTAAGGACGCCTTGGCCCATGCACTGGAGGTAGAAGCCGTGCGGCAGGATCATCGTTCCCATCGCGTCAGGGAGGTTGCAGCAGCTACAGTTCGCGACCGCAACAAAGGATACAGCCCTAGGTGCTATGGCTGTGGGGAAAAGGGCCATCTTCGATCCAGCTGCCCTAAGCGAACCCTAGAAAGGGAAGGTGAACGATCCCAGGAGGGTAGTGCGGCCAACAGCACCGCCCAGCAGCAGCAGGGAAACGAGTAAAAGCCAGAACTGCGGGGCGGGTGCTGGCTGATGTTAAAAGAGCCCCAAGGATCTCGATCTCACAAACCCATGATGGGAACAGTCTAATCATCAAGGGCGAGGTCAACGGAATGCCGTGTAAACTGACCATAGACACTGGAGCCTCTCGTACGGTTGTTAGTTCCCAACTTATAAGTCAGTTCCTTGGGGACTCCGCATACAACCGAGAACGCATTAATTTGGTAACAGCCACCGGTCAGCGTATACCCGTCCGTGGAGAGAAGGAGATGGAGTTGAAGCTAGGCAACGTGATCTACCTGCATAATGTCATCGTGGCTGATATAATGGACGACTGCATCCTAGGCCTAGACTTTATGAGGAATAATTGTTGTGAGATCGACGTTAAGCAAGGTGTTTTGAAATGTGGACAGGAGGAACTTTTTATGGAAGGTGCGTTACCAGGGAACGTGTACAGCATCAAGAAGATTGTTCTTCCGCCGAGATCGGAAACGATTGTTCCGGTTAGTCTTCCACGAAACGCTGGGCAAGCTCACCGTTGTGTACTTGTGGAAAGGGTAAACAATGACCTTCCATGGAAAGTAGCTCGAACCTTGGTCAGGACCACTGACATCTCAGGAGTACGTGTGCTGAACCTTTGCGACCGGGAACAGGTTATAGAAAAAGGTACACTGGTTGGTACTTGTGAGGAAGTGGATTGGTTACGTCAGTGCCAATATATATCGAGTGGGACCCCCAGCAAGGATTCAGAAACGAGAGTGACCACACTTTTGGAAGACTGTCGCAGTGTTCTGTCCCCGAACGAATTGGTGAAGGCGAATAAGTCAACTATATATTCATATTAACGTTTAAAACAATAAAAAAATTAAATAAAATATCGAATATTGCAATTTAGGTTCAATGTTGCCACTTTTCCGCCTTTGTGATTTTTCCACATTAATGGGAGACTGTATAATTTATGGAATAAGTTAATTTTGTTTTAAAATAAACAAGTAAAATTGATTGCTTAAAAATAAAAACTATGTTTCAACCTTTATACAAAATAATTATTCTTATTTTAGTTTATTCATGAATGGTCTATTAATTATATTTTATTATTTTATATTATATTAATAAATTTGCAGTGTACCTAAAGATGCAGCACGCAATGCAATACAAGTTGATCATTCCCTTTTATTGATTAATGCCATTATTTATAAGTACTTAAAAATAAGATTGTACCACGAAAGTAAATTATACACTCAAACACACAAAAAAGAATCCAAAAGGCAATTATATAACAAACTGATGCTTCATAGCGGAGTTTGAGAGCATGGACTATTATGAATATTTAAGCGGATTAGTATTACAGATTAAAACCATTTATATTATCTTACAAATAGACTTCCGCAGAGTCACGCCTGAATCCATTAACTATCCTCAGTATTGTTGCAAAAAAAATATAAAAACTTTTTAAAGTTGTTAAGTAGTTTAGAAATTCTATAAACAAGAAAATCAACGAAATTTATTGATAACCAAAGTTTTTGTAGCTAATGTCATGAGACTAAATTTAAGAGACAAAAACTTGGTGATGATTTCACAACTTATGCATATTCAACACAGATCTCGCTTAAGAAACCTAAAATTGTTTTTTTTATTTGCTTTATTTTTTGTTTGATTTATTAGTACAATAAAAATAATATATAAAAACATATTTTATTTCATTACTTATGCTTACTTCTGTTCATCTAATAAGAAAATATACAAATTTAAAATAAAAACAATTTACTGCAACTTTAAAAAAAAAACTCCTTTATATTGCTCATTTTGGGTAAAATTTCATAAAGTATGCAACACCAACCCGCCACTGCATGTTTGTGTGTCTATCTTTATCTAATGTTAGGGACGATATTGTTTTCCGCGACTTGTGTAAGTGAGACAGATATATGTTTACTTAAAAATTTTAATGATTTCAAAGCTACGTCGTCGCATTTGGATAGTGGTTACACTTTGTTCGACGCGCGGCAATGTGGTTTGCTCCTCTAGTCTTGTATAACTCAATGAATGTAGCATTATAAACAGTAAATCTCCCTCAAACTCAATTTACTAATATTGTTCCTAAATAAGGAATAGCAGATAAAAGATTAGTAGGTAATAACTATTGCTCCTCAAAATTATATTTGACCTCAAGGTAAAATATATCCTAAAATTCAGTAGCTAAATAAAATAGTAATACCTACTGTTCAAGTATTTTTCAATTGTAAGTAAATGAAATTGGCATTAGCATGTAAAGTTCGAATCCATAATTTTAATATTTCGACAAATATTATAATTTACACTATAAAAAGCTAATTCAATATTAGCAGTATAGTTTATAGTTAAAAATAATCAAAATAGTATTTTTAATAATTTAGATGAATATGTTAGAATACAAATAATTCTAATATAATGTTTCTAACTAATGCATACCGGATAAAGAAAACTTAAAATACACATTATCATTGTCTGCCGCAAATTGTCTACACTTTATTGGCCATAAAAATTTCTAATTCTATTTGACATTGATAAATTAATACTACGTTCGTACCAGTAGGTGGCGTCTTGCAGATTTCTACGCGATGTATTGTAGCGAGAGCGTCCGCAGGCCAAATGCTCAAGGTCGTTCGCTAGAGGTAAAGCCTCGAAAACGCTATCGCCGTACTGATCCGAGTGAATACATAATTTCTATAAAAACTTGAAGAAACGCAGTCATAAGGTCTAAAATTGCGTAGCGCCCGCGACGATTAAAAGCGCTTAGAAATTGTCAAAATCTTAAAATATTTTTTAAAAAATTATTGATTTAAGTTATCTATCAAAATAATGAGCAAGTAAATTATGAATATTGATGTTATTAATATATTTGAGTGATTCCCAAGCTTATAGATCAAATGATTTCGTTCTAATTTCAACTATAGTGATTTTTAGAGGTGTTTTCGCAAATAATTATGATCGAGTCAAAATTATACAATCATGTTTTTGAGCAATCAAATTAAAGATAAAGACATGAATTTACCTATATCAAAATCCCACATTCGTTAGTGGTGTCATATTCCTATACTATTCGATGAAAGGAGGTGGTGCATTTTTCACGGTGTCGCCTTAAGAAGAATATTTTAATGTCATGAAAGGACTCGTGTAGGTCTCATGATTAAAATGTAATTGATAATATATTTCCATATACCAACAATTGCACAGTATAATGTTATGGTTTAGCTATAAACTCATCTCATTTCGAGAAACTTCTCATTTCAATACCTTTCATTCCAGTAAAAGTCGCCTTAAGTATTAACGAATGTAAGCCAGCGGTGCAAATAAATTTTAAATGTCTTACATCTGGGAGTGGCTGAGCTCTACAAATTGAATTGTATATTTATATCATGCTAGCCGAGCTTTAGTCCTGTCAATGTGGCGATATAAATTTGCTACATTATTCTCTTACTCTCATAGTCCGACTAGGGCAATCAATGACCACAAGATGAAATGCAATGTCAAGCGCAAAAGCAACGGCTTTACGTTCTTTCAGAAGCACGAAGGTGAAACTCCGCTTACTTGCTGGCTCCAGATGGCTAATAAAAAATCTGACAGATAAATTCAAATAACTGACTTCGGCCCGACGTGTCTTTTACCATATGCTGGGAAGTTAACACAGTTGGCACATTCTTTTTTTGTTAAAAGTCCCACATGGGATCTGGCATAAAACATCACGCAGCGAAATGTCACGCTGAAATAATAATATTTTTAATTATCAATTTGTTAGAAATGATACTACACACATACTAGTCAATAGATATCTTGAGATACACACAAAACAAAAAGACTGACTCGTGAAGGATTTGAACCTCCGCCCTCCGATGTTCAAGCTTTAGTTTATATCGGCGCTCTTACCTACTGAGCTAACGAGTCTTATTGCGTAAACTTTTAATTTTGGCATCAGTTCCTTGAATTTGACATTGACGTCTATTTTTAAAAAAGTTGAAATAACTGTAAATTAAAGCGATAGAACTCTACAATACGACACTATAAACTGACTTTTTGTAAATAAAACAATATTAAAAAAGAACAG